GAGGTCTAGGAGGAGCCTGGGGGAAGGCTGGGCGAGGCAGGTGGGAGAGTGGAGCAGAGGACAGTATGCCTCGCTTAGGGTCGGGGCCAGGGCAGGGACGGCATGACTGTGCACAGCCTGGCCAAGGAGGGAGGGACGGTCTCCCGGCAGCAGTGATGGGACAGATTGCAAAGCCCAGCTCAGCACTGCCCAGCAGAGCAGCTGCTGTCCCCAGGCCAGACCCCTGGGCACTGGCAGGGAGGATGTGAAAGGTCCCTGGGAACACTGCCAGTCAAGCAAGTCTGCCCTCTGGTTTGCACGGACTGCCCGGAGGGGGAGGGAGGCAGGACGCATGCCTGGGACCCACGCAATGGATCTCTGTGAACAGGGACCCGGAGGGCTCTCGGGCCTGCACCCTCCCACCTGGTGCCTCCCGGCCTGTGCCTGAGCCTGAAGTGCCCCCACTTTTAGGGGGGAGTTAAGGCCGATGGGTTTTGTCCATTAGCCCCGTTTTCCTCTGCATGCAGTCCAGGCCCTCTCTGCCCACAGAAGTTTCCAGAACGTACGGGGGTCACAGACGTGCTTGGGAACAGCGGGCTGGGACCACAACAGGGAGGTCTGGTCTGGGGCCCCAGGGAGGCGGCGGTCAGCCAGACCAGTCATCTGGCGCCACCCTGTGTCCATAAGCGTGAACTGCAGCTGCGCCGTGCGGCAGGCACCACCGGTCCCCTGCGTTTTCATAAGACGTGGCAGCTGACAGGCTCTGCAAACGGGCTCAGAGACGTGGCTTTGCTGAGGTCCTGCAGCAACTGGGGGCAGAAACGGCCCCCCAGCTCCCTGTGCAATCGTCCCACTGCCCAGCTGCCCTCTGGACCTTTCCTCCAGGCTGAGGGCGGAGTTCCAATCCCCGCTGGGTAGCCTGGGGCTCCTCGATGAACCTCTCTGAGCCCCGGCTTTCTGGGCAGGTTGCAGAAAGGACTAGACTCCTGGGGTAAACTCAGATGTGGATATGAGTTTGTTATGAACTACACCTGGCCACTCAACTTGTCACTACGGTATTGTTTCAATTGTCAGAACAGACGTTCTTTCCCCCTAAAATGGTTTCCTTTGGTCTCTAACTCACTCTTTCTGGAAGCACCTAGTTCAAAGTCGTCATCCCCTGGAGGGTCTCCCTCATTTCTGTCCCTGCCATGGGGACATCTGCATCCAGGACCCCCCTTGTGGTTGGTCACATGGCCCAGTTTTGGGTGCGGCCTCTGCCCTACCTTTCTCTGCCAGGTCCTGCCGCAGAGGTGAGGAATGGTGCTCCCTCGGCCCATCCCTGGGGGCCCTCTGCGGCCCTCGGCCCCGTCCCGGGGGGCCCTCTGCGGCCCTCGGCCCCTGCTCACTTTGCCTGTCAGGTGGCCATCTCCCGAGCTCTGGGCCAGCGTCCTTGCCCAGCTCCACAGGCTGCCGGGACTCTGAATCCTTTCCCTTCAGTGCCAACAGGGGGCACCCTCGGGTCACACTTCGGGACCATCAGCTCACAGCTCCCCTGCTGGGGTTTCTCCTTGACTTTATCCCTTCTCACACCCTCTCACACGCACTTTGGGGAGGGGCCAATGTGGGGGGCACCTCCCAGGGACCTGGCTCATCCTCACCCTAGCAGAGGCGTCTTGTCCCAGCACCAGAGCCCAGGTTCTCTCCGGGGGGACTCCCCCAAGCCGTCCCCTCCTCCTTCCTCTGCCAGCAGGCTTTCTGTTCCAGCCAGTACCTGTGCCACCTTCCCTCAGGGTGACCAAGGTGTTGCAGGGAGGGACCCTGGTGACGGGGGGGGGGGGGGTTACAAAGCATCGTTGTCCCCATCATACGTCCACCCCTCCACCCAGCCTCAGGGAGTCAGAGAGGCCACGTCAGCCAGACCTCTGGTTTCGGGGATCACTCTGCTCTGGCCTCTTTCCCACCTGTCCCCTAGTTTCTACTGCAGGCTGGGCCCCAAATACCCACCTTCACGGGGAGGCCCAGCCCAGGTGAGACCATTTACCCGTGGTTCTCAACCTTCCTGATGCCGCCACCCTTTAATACAGCTCCTCATGTTGTGGTGACCCCCGACCTTAAAATTATTTTTGTTGCTACTTCATAACTGTAATCTTGCTACTGTTATGTCTTAGGCGACCCCTGTGAAAGGGTCCTTCCACCCCCAAAGGGGTCACGACCCTCAGGTTGAGAACCGCTGCGAGGGGATTCTGGGTTAGTGGTCAGAGTTGCCAGGGTGCGGCCTCCTGGCTAAAATCCTGGTGCGCTGCCGGCGCCTTCAGCCAGGCCCACGCCCCGTCCGCTCGGTGGGAGGGACCATCAGGCGTGGGTCCGCGGTCAGAGCGCTAAGGAAACGGTGGTGGTTGTGATGTTGGAACAAGCCCCAGAGGAAACTGTGCCCAGGGCAGGGAAGACGTGACGCCAAGACGGAAGCCTGGCTGCGCGGAGGCCACAGCCCCTCCCACGCAAAGGCCAAGTCCGGGACGGGGCTGCCGGCGTCTGCTGTGCTCCGGACAGTCCAGAGCTGGGGTCTCGGGGATCCCGGACAGTCTAGACCTGACTATGCCCCATGGGGGTGGGGGGGCGCTTCAAAAACAGGGCAAGGAAGGCGGACGGGCGGGACGCGCAGCGCTGGCGACAGGGGTGGAGGAGCAAGGGGGGGGCAGAAGGTACCAGCCGCCAGCCACTGCCTCCGGCCCCTGGCAGCTGTGTCCTCGTGTGGGCAGGGCGGCCGGGGGGCCAGCTCACCCAGGCGCTGCTTCCTCCCAGGGCCTCAGGCCAGGGTGGCCAGGACTCTGACTGCCCTGCGTGGGCCGCGGCCTCTGGCCACATGATGCAGCTCCAAGTACACTCCTGTCGGGACCAACCTGCCGAGCCCCCACGCTGCCCCAAGGGACAAAGCCAGCCCTGGAGGGGGACTGCTTCTGGCCAAGCCAAGAGTCCTTTCTTCCTAATTTGGGGTGACCCAGCCCAGGCTCCTGAGGCCTGGAGAGCCCGAAAGGCAAGACGCTCCGCCAGCCCTGGCCCTGGAGCTGGTCCTCTTTGCTGTTGCCTGCCCTGCCCCTGGGCAGCTCCGGGGTGCCTGTCGCAGAGGGCTGAAAGTGACAAAGTAGGGGTTCCCTGCGAGGGCAGGGGAGGAGGAGCGGAAAAGGGAGGCCCCTGAGACTCTCAAGAAAGTGTGGGGTGATGGTTGTTCAAGCGGCCACGTTCCAGGAGGTTAAAAGGCACAAAAACTGCCCCAGCCGGTGTGGCTCAGTGGTTGGGCATCTTCCCGGGCACCAGGAGGTCGCCCATTCGATTCCCGGTCGGGGCACAGGCCCGGGTTTCGGCTCCATCCCTAGTAGGGGGCGTGCAGGAGGCGGCCAATCGGTGTTTCGCCTTCTCCTCAATGTTTTTCCCTCTCCCTTCTCTCTCGGCAGGAAAAGAAGGAACAAAACCGAGACTCTGACATGGGCCTGCCCCTGCACTCTTGGCTCTTGGCTCTTGGCGTCCTGCAGGAGCTCAGCCCCGGGTGCAGAGCAGAGGGTGAGAGTCCCGCTCGGAACTGTGGGCCCAGGAGGACCAGAGGCGGGCCTGGGGAGAAGGCACCTGCTAAACATAGCCGTCAGTGTGGGTGTAGGGTTGGGGGGCTCATCCCTGCTTGGCCCTCGTGGTGCCCAATGAGGGGGCAGGGGAGCTGTGTCCTCCTCACCTTCTCAATGCAGGGGGACAACTCACAAGGTGTGTGGCTGGTGTCGGGGGCAGATGCCGAGGATCTGGGGGTGGGAGCTAGGCAGGCCACAGTCTCAAACAATACCTGAAAAGGATTTATTTTTCGTGCCTTCAGCAAACATTCCAGCCTCATGACGCTCTGTGCCCCCTGAGCGGGACGGGGTGAGGTGCAGAGGCCCCTGAGCGGGACGGGGTGAGGTGCAGAGGCCCCTGAGCGGGACGGGGTGAGGTGCAGAGGCCCCTGAGCCGGACGGGGTGAGGTGCAGAGGCCCCTGAGCGGGACGGGGTGAGGTGCAGAGGCCCCTGAGCGGGACGGGGTGAGGTGCAGGGCCCTGAGCGGGACGGGGGTGAGGTGCAGAGGCCCCTGAGCCGGACGGGGTGAGGTGCAGAGGCCCCTGAGCGGGACGGGGTGAGGTGCAGAGGCCCCCGAGCGGGACGGGGTGAGGTGCAGGGCCCCTGAGCGGGACGGGGTGAGGTGCAGAGGCCCCCGAGCGGGACGGGGTGAGGTGCAGAGGCCCCCGAGCGGGACGGGGTGAGGTGCAGAGGCCCCCGAGCGGGACGGGGTGAGGTGCAGGGCCCCCGAGCGGGACGGGGTGAGGTGCAGAGGCCCCTGAGCGGGACGGGGTGAGGTGCAGGCCCCCTGAGCGGGACGGGGTGAGGTGCAGAGGCCCCCGAGCGGGACGGGGTGAGGTGCAGAGGCCCCCGAGCGGGACGGGGTGAGGTGCAGGGCCCCTGAGCGGGACGGGGTGAGGTGCAGGGCCCCTGAGCGGGACGCGGTGAGGTGCAGAGGCCCCCGAGCGGGACGGGGTGAGGTGCAGGGCCCCCGAGCGGGACGGGGTGAGGTGCAGAGGCCCCCGAGTGGGACGGGGTGAGGTGCAGGGTCCCTGAGCGGGACGGGGTGAGGTGCAGAGGCCCCTGAGCCGGTCGAAAGCAGAGTGGGGGAAGGGACCCTGTGAGTGTGAGTGGTCATCCCTGCCTGGTCCTGCCCATCGCCCCTCAGACCAGCAGCAGCCGGCTCCCTCACTGATGGGCCACAGAGCTGGGGAAAAGGGTCTCCCCAGAGAGAGGGTGAGGGTTGCTGGTTCCTGGAACAATGCCCTGGCCCCTCCCTTGTCTGGGGCCCTGGCCCTGGCCGCCTGGCCAGGGCCTGAGGTCAGCCTGCATGGCCTGGCTGCGTGGTCTGGCCCAGTGCCCACGGCCAGTCCTGCCCTGAGGTCAGTGTAAGGCCTGGCAGGACTGAGAGGAGGGACGTGCAGTGGGCCTGGGCCCTGACAGGGAGCCCCGAGGCAGCCCGCTCAGCGGGGCCGCTTGCTGTCCAGAAGGGCCCTCCAGTGGTCTGTCCAGCCGTGCAGCCTGCGGCGGGGGGGCAGCAGCTGGACGTGCCGGTTGTGGCAGGCGGTGAAGAGCACGTGCTCCCAGCTGGGGTTGGGCTCTGCCCCTGTGGGGGAAGCAGCGGTCAGTGTGACGTCTGAGCTGGAGGGGCTGCCTGGGACCCGTCCCCGAGGCTCACAGTCCGCTGCCCCTGGGAGGCTCAGCCTCTGTGAGCACAGCGCTAGCACCTGCTCCACAGGCCCACCCAGCGCAGCGGGGCACTGTCAGGCTCTGCCTGCAGACGCCCTGCCCGCCCTCTCCGGCCGGCAGGCACCCTCCACTGGCCGGCACCGGCTCCAAGGCTCACCAGCTGCTCACCATGCCCGCAGGCCCCAGCCCCAGCTCCAGTCCGAATGCCCATGGTCTGCACTGGCACTGCCCCTTGGGCTACGGCCTGGCCCCAGCTCCCCCTGCCTCTTCCCTGCTTCCCGTGGCTGGAGACAGAGGTCGGGTCTTTGGCACCGGCGAGGTCACGGTCCCCGCCGGCACTGTGCCCTGACTCTCCTTAAGGAACTGGCTGCTGGGGGGTGGGCAGGGGTGGGCGCACCGTGGCTCCTTCCTCTGGAAACAGTGACTAGTCTCCCAAACCAGCTCAAATGCCATCAGGGGGGCATGTTCTGCATTTGACCGCCCAGGAGACCAGAGGAGTGAGGCAGCCCTGAAACGACGAAGGCTCACCGGGAGGGAGCCCGCCGGGCACGGAGGCAAAGACACTGAATTCTGGCTGATGATGAGACGCCTGGGTTCAGCCGTGCCTGAAGGCCTCCCACCCACCTTTTAGTCAGATGTACCACTAACTGTCCCCTCTCCTTTACAGCCGGGTGAAGGGCAAGTCCAGCTCCCAAACCAGCTCCAACTGGGACATTATACCCTGCTTTCCTGTTTTATGTATCAGGTTCCGTTCAGATGGCTTTTAGGAAATGGGGGGGGGGCGTTCTTCTGCTGAGAACAAACATTGGGAAGCCAGAGCTGGGCCTTCATTAAATGAGGAAGGCCGTTTCCAGGTATGGGGGACTCACCCAAGGCCAGCCAGTGGGTTCTGCTGGGGGCTGGGACCCCCTTCGCCCAGCCCCAGGCCAGACGTGGAGAAGAACTCGTCTTCCCAACGGGGAGAGGCTCAGTGCTGGGCTCCAGGCTGGACACCTGACACACACCTGATGACTAAGTGGGGGGCCCCTCAGGACAGGGGCCACGAGGCCCAGCCCCACTCCCATCTGTCCCCAATCCTTACCTGCCGCCGGCCACTTGCCTGTGATGTCTGGCCGGTCATCTATGAGCAGGTCGGCAGAGATCACGGTCTTGTCTCTAGTCAGCACCACATGGTCCAGGAAACCGGGGCCGAGGTGCTTCTCCACCCAGGCATACTGCAGCGTGAGCAGGAAGAGAAGAAGACAGCGCCATCAGCCTGGGCACAGCCAGAGAGGCGGACACAGCCGCAGAGCCGGGCACAGCTGGGCACAGGCAGAGAGCCGGAACAGCCGGAGAGCCGGGCACAGCTGGGCACAGGCAGAGAGCCGGAACAGCCGGAGAGCCGGGCACAGCTGGGCACAGGCGGAGAGCCGGAACAGCCGGAGAGCCGGGCACAGCTGGGCACAGGCGGAGAGCCGGAACAGCCGGAGAGCCGGGCACAGCTGGGCACAGGCGGAGAGCCGGAACAGCCGGAGAGCCGGGCACAGCTGGGCACAGGCGGAGAGCCGGAACAGCCGGAGAGCTGGGCACAGCTGGGCACAGGCGGAGAGCCGGAACAGCCGGAGAGCCGGGCACAGCTGGGCACAGCCGGAGAGCCGGAACAGCCGGAGAGCTGGGCACAGCTGGGCACAGCCGGAGAGCCAGCACAGCCGGAGAGCTGAGCACAGCCGGAGAGCCGGGCACAGCTGGGCACAGACGGAGAGCCGGAACAGCCGGAGCGCCGGGCACAGCTGGGCACAGCCGGAGAGCCGGAACAGCCGGAGAGCTGGGCACAGCTGGGCACAGCCGGAGAACCGGGCACAGCTGGGCACAGCCGGAGAGCCGGAACAGCCGGAGAGCCGGGCACAGCTGGGCACAGCCGGAGAGCCGGGCACAGCTGGGCACAGCCGGAGAGCCAGCACAGCCGGAGAGCTGAGCACAGCCGGAGAGCCGGGCACCGAGAGCCTGGGCACAGACGGGCTTTCCCCAGGGCCAAGGGCTGAGCAGTGGAGGCGTGAGGAGCCCCTTGCAGCGGAGGAAACACACTCCGTACGATGGTGTGACTTGTCCACAGCACAGCAGGGGAAAGCATGGGCGTCCTTGCTCAGACCCAGACCGCCCACCTCCACTCTGACCCCGCACAGCACCTCGACAAGAGGGAGAGCCTGTGCCTGCCAACCAGCGCCACACCACACACCGTGAACCCTGGCACCGCGCACGGCGCAGCCCCGGACACAGGAGCAGGACAGAGACCACAGGCACATGGAAACAACTCGCCGGGCCATGCAGCCGGCCACCCCTCCAGCCCGGTGGGACAAAGGGATTCTGTGGGCGAGGTGCCAGGGCAGAAGGGGCAGGTGCCTTGGGAGGAAGTAGGGGCGATGGGAGTAGGCTGGGCTGCTGGCAGGCTGTCCGGTGTCCCCACTTCCCTGGGGGTGTGGTCTGGGGGAACCCTCCCACCTCCCTGCAGCCAGGCTGTGGCGTGCTACCTGCCAGCATCCTGAGGGAGCCGGGAGACAGACAAGGGCCCTTCCTGCAGAGCCACCACCTCACCCCATGTCCTTCCGACTCTGTTTCTGCCCCTGTGTCGGCAAACGAGCGCCTGAGCCACGGGCCCTGCTAGGCTGTGACTCGGTGGAGCAGTCAGAGTCCTTTTCTCTAAACCTCAGCGGCTCTGAGGACACAGCTCCTGGGCGGGGTCCCAGGCAAGGCCTCCCGACCGGCTCCCCGTGTGGGGCATGAAGGTAAGGCTGACAGGGCGCCTTGCCAGCCCCGTGGGAAGGCCAGGGGGGACCCCACAGCAGGGTCCTGCCAGGAGCTGCCCGAGCCAGGGGCACAGCTCAGAGCCCCTGCCCCTGTCCTGGCTCCCACTCCCTGTCCCCTCCCTTTCTGTCCCCTTCTTTTACTTCCTCTGCTATTATGCCTGTTCCCACTTGGCCAGCACCATGAGGACGGCCCTCTGACTGGGTCGCTCCTTCCCCACGAGCACGCGCCTTGGGCAGCTGCCAGTCCTCAGCCGCCCTATCGGGCCAATGCCAATGGTCCTCCGGCGGAGGTCAGGCGTGTCTGTCTGCATAATGACCGGTTTCACACCTCTCTGCCCCACAGGCCAGTCAGTCCCCTGAGGTTGGGGCCGTGCCTCCGTGGGTACTTGCTGAATGACCAAACAAACCAAAAACAAACATGATCAGAAGGGACAGGGCGGATCGGGCCAGCCCTGCCCTGGAGAGGATGTTGACCCTGAAGACCTCAGGGCCAAGGTCACAGGGTGGCCTCACAGTGATCTGCTGGCCGTAAGGTGGCCCAGTCTGGGTTCCCCAAACGTCACCACAAGTCCAGAATCTATGGAGGCAGGTGTCCCCAGCTGTCTGTAGACAAGGCCAGGGGACTCCGGACAGATACTTCCAAGGGGTCTGGAGCCCAGCGGGGTTCAGATGCAGCTTCCTCATAGGACGGCCCCTGTCCCCATTGCACCTCCAGTGCATACACTGCTCTGTCCCCCTGTCCCCACCACACGCCCAGCATCTGCTCTGCCCTGTCCCCCGTCCCCCATCCCCACCGCACACCCAGCACCTGCACTGCTCTGCCCTGTCCCCCTGTCCCCACCGCATGCCCAGTGTCTGTAACTGCTCTGCCCACCCAGTGGAATAGCTCTAAACACGGTTTTGCTTGGGAAAACGACGCGGTAGTTTTACATCTTTCAAGGGTCAAGTGGTGAACAGCTTCTGCACAGATAGACGCTCAGAGGGGTTCGGTGAGGGGCAAAGTCCCGTGAACGTCGGCTGGCACCTCCAGCCCCCACCATGCCCTGCCTTGCAGCCCTGCACCCCTGAGCCGTCACCTGCGCCCCCTGCTGCGTGCCACCCCCCAGCCCCAGGTGCAGGCCAAAACCTCGTGTGGCCACTTCTCCTGAGCAGGCTTGTCATCATGGAGTCCCCTTGCGAGTGGCTCCAGCCGGCGCGGGGAGATGGGTGACAGCGGTGCCCCTTCAAGGGGTCCCTTGGGGAGTCGATGGGCAGAGACACGAGTCCTGGCACGGCACCCAGCAGACGGAATGTGCTCAGTGCATGGCCTCTGGACACAGGCGCTGGCTTCTGGCCTCACCCTCCTCTCTGGGGTGGTGCTGCGTGAGCTGCAAGACCTCGGACAGGTCTCCCAGCTCCCAGACCCGTGTCCCCAGAGCATGGTTGGGGTGGTTACAGAAAACAGAGTCTGTGTAGGATACTCAGAGTGACACCGGCACACTGAGAACTCAGTCAGCGTTATCATTATAGCAGAACTTCGATAGCCCCCAAGGAGATGCAGAAGCTACCAGACAGAATTGGCAACGATACAGTAGATAAGGGCTAATTTCCAAAATACATAGAGTGCTCATACAGCTCAACAAAAGGAAGACAAAGAACCCAATTAAATGAGCAGAGGAACTAAATAGACACCTCTCCAAACAGGACATACAAATGGCCAAGAGGCATATGAAGAAATGCTCAACATCACTAATCATCAGAGAGATGCAAATTAAAACAACAATGAGGTATCACCTCACACCTGTCAGAATGGCCGCCATCAACAAATCATCAAACAACAAGTGTTGGCGAGGGTGTGGAGAAAAGGGGACTCTAGTACACTGCTGGTGGTAATGCAGACTGGTGCAGCCACTATGGAAAACAACATGGTGTTACCTCAAAAAATTAAAAATTGAACTGCCCTTTGACCCAGTGATCCCACTTCTAGGAATATACCCCAAGAAGCATGAAACACCAATCAGAAAGAATATATGCACCCCTATGTTCATAGCAGCACTATTTACAATAGCTAAGATCTGGAAACAACCCAAGTGTCCATCAGTAGATGAATGGATAAAAAAGCTGTGGTACATATACACAATGGAGTACTATGCAGCTGTAAGAAAGAAAGATCTCTTATCCTTTGAGATGACATGGAGGGACCTGGAGAGTATTACCTGAGTGAAACAAACCAGTCAGAGAAAGACAAGTATCATATGATCTCACTTATTTTGTGGAATATAATGAACAAAATAAGTTGAGGAACAAAACAGACCCAGAGATGTAAAAGTAGGGTTCAGACTGACAAACTTCAGAAGAGGCGGAGGGGGAGTGGGAAGAGATAAACCACAGAACCTATATGCACGCACGCATAACCAAGGATATAGACAATGATGCTGGGGGCGGGGGGGACTGGGGGAAGGGTGTCAATGGGAGAAAAAGGAGAAACATCTGTAACAAAAATAAATAAATAAACATTTTTTAAAAAGCTACTAGAACCAACACGTTTAGCAGAGTAGCAGGATGCAAGGTCAGACGCAGAGCACACCAGTATTTCTGTACAGCTGGACACTGAAACGGAACAGTACAGTTTACGAGAGCCCAGAATGTGAGATGAGCTGACTATACGCTTAGAAATTGTTACGATGGTAAACTTTATGTTATGTATATGTTACCACAATCTTTAAACATTTAAAAAATAAAGAATTTAGTCTGGATGGTGTGGCTCAGTGGTTGAGCGTCAATGCATGCTCCAAGAGGTCCCGGGTTCGATTCCCAGTCAGGGCACAGGCCCAGGTTGTGGGCCTGATCCCCAGTGGGGGGCATGCAGGAGGCAGCCAGTCGATGTTCTCATTGATTTTTCCTTCTCTCTCTTCCTCTCCCTTCCTCTATCTCTAAAATCAATAAAGGAAAAAAAATTTTTTAATAAAAATAAAAATAAAGAAGAATTTTAAAAACCTCTATGCAAAAATGCATGAAATATGGATAAATTTAACAAAATATGTGCAAGACCTGTATACTAGAAACTACAAGTCACTGCTGAGAGAAATATTGTGAGACATAAATACATGAAAATGCATAAATGCTCATGGATCAGAAGATTCGGTATTGCGATGTGACCCCCCCACCCAGTCCCAGCTTCTTATAGAAACTGAAAAGCTGATTCTAAAATTTATATAGAAATACAAAGGACCCAGGATAGTCAGAACAAGTTTTTTTTTTCCTTATCTTCACCTGAGGACATTTTTCCATTTTTGTTCAGATAGAGTGGGATGGAGAGAGAGCAACAGAGAGAGGGAGAGAAACATCGATGTGAGAGGGACACATCGAGTGGCTGCCTCCCGCATGACCCCAACCCAGGGCTGGGGACAAATTGCAACTGCAGAACATGCCTGTGGCCGGAATTGAACCTG